TTTTTAAAGGACGAGGGCTGAGGCTCCATGTGAAGGCCCTCTGTTCATTCCCCCATATGACTGGGAGGGAGAGAGAGAGGCACCCCACCTCTCTGAGTAAATTAGGTTGCTATGGTATGAATAACATTGTCTCACAAAACAATTGAAATAATTTGTTTTTCAGAAACAAATCTTCAGTTGTTTATTTAAACCAATAAACTTAACTACTTCGTTTTGTTTGGAGTATTTTTAAGACATTGGATTTTCTAAGTATAAGGATTACATATGATTATTCTAAACCTTATATGGAAAAGAGAAGAAACTAGAATGGCTATAATAATTTTGAAAAAGAATATAGTAGAGAGAATCACTGTACCTAAGTTTAAGATATTATATAGCTATAGCCATTGACATCATGTGGTATTAGAATAGGAACAGATATTTGGATCGATGGAACAGAATAGAGAACCCAGAAACTAATCCACACCTACATGAACAATTGACTATTGTGTGTTTGTGTGTGTGTGTGTGTGTGCTGAAAATCAAACTGAAGGCCTTATGCATTCTAGGCAAGTGCTCTCCAATTGAGCTGCATCCCCAGCCCAACAATTAATATTTTACAAAGGTGCAAAAACAATTCAATGAAGTACAGTATTTTCAATGAATTACAAGATAGCACTGTTACACAAAAATTAACTAAAAATGGATCATGGATTAATGTGTAAAATTTAAACTTTTAGAAAAAATATATAAGTCTTAGGACTTCAAATGAGTTTTTAAATATCAAAAGTAAACTGAACATTATCTTTTTTTGTTTTTTTTTTGAGACAGGGTCTCACTATGTAGTTCAGGCTGGCCTTGAACTCACTATGTAACCCAGGCTGGCCTTGGACTCACAGGCTTGTCTCAGCCTCCCAAGTACTAGGATTACAGGCATGTGCCACCATTCCTGGCTGACATCATCAAATTTAAAAACTTTTTTCCAAAAAATAAATAAATAAATTAAAAGTCTTATTCTGTGAAAGAACCTAATAAGACATAATAAATAAAACAAGCTATGGGCTCAAAGGACTCATTTTTAAACTATATAAAAATAATCAAAACCCAAAGCTAAAATATATATTCACTTAGAAAATGAGCAAAAGACATAGAGAACTGTCTCACCAAAGAGGACTTGCAGATGGCAAGAGATCATGTAAAAACATGTTCAGCATTATTAGCCATTGGAGAAATGCAAATTGAAACCACAATGAAATATCAGAATAGCTAAGAAATGCTCCTACTCACATGTTGCTACCACAGTGCAGCCACTCTGGAAAACAGTACGGCAGTTTCATATAAAGCTAAATGTACACTTACCAGATGACCTAGCAATTGCACTGCTGGCCCTTTATCCCAGGAGAATGAAAGCTTATTTTCATGCAAAAATCTATACAGGACTGTTCATGGCAACTTTGTTTGCAATGCTCAAAACTGGAAACTATCAAAATGCCCTGTATTAGATAAAGAGTTAAACAGCGCTGCGGATGTACTCTGTGGTCTGGGATTCAATCAACAAACAATGGTACACATATAAATAAAATAAAAACACAATACACACAGCATCTCAGATAAATCTCAAAGGCGTCACACTGAGTAAAGAAATGCCAGTCTGAAAAGTCTTACACAGTGTGTGTTCGTTGATGTAACATTCTTGAAATGGCAAAATTGTGCAAACAGATGAACAGCCTGCTGGGGCTGAAGCTGACATGGGGAGAGGGAGGGTATGGCTATGGAGGATGAGGGTATCTTCATGGTGTTAAAGTGCAGCAGTGAGCATTCAAATGCACACCTGAGATACGATGACGTGGAAATGCACATGTACGTTGTACGTGTGTCGGTGTCCTGGTGGGATATTGCACCATACTTGTGTAAAGACTCCCACTGGAGGGGAACCAGGAGAAGGGTGGACAGAGCCCACCTTTACTGTCTCTTGAAGTCCCTGCTAATCTATAATCATATATATGTATGTGTGTGTGTGTATATATATATATATGTATGTATATATATATATAAACTTCGGGAAGTTTTTGTAAGCACTGATTTGTTAAACATAAGCATTTAAAGTGTATAATTTTTGTAATTCTATTTGAACATTTCCATGTGTTTCAAATGCTGGAATCCTCAAAAAAGCCTGGAAGTGGCCTAGGCCTCTCTGCCCTCTGGGAGATGAGGAAAGCGGGTATCCACACGCCTGCCTGGCCCTGACATCCTCTCAGGGAGGCCTTGTTGGGAATATCCCTGCAGGCTGCACTTGGTTCGACTCCTGGTTCCACGGGTGTGACTCACATTTACACGATTCTCAGTGGCAACTGCTGCTTTGCATCTGCGTCCCTGGGGGGCTGACCCTGGATCTATGTAACAGTCCCATGGGAGGACTGCATCAACGTGGCATCCTCCCCAGAACTGCTAGAATGTGCTTCCATGGGAGGGACATGTCCTCAAAACCTTGCAGGCCGAGAGACATACCTATTGCATATGCTATTACACACCTGAGGCTTATGGGGTGCCCACGGGGCTGAAGGAAAGGGAAGACCACAGTATGTTATGTTCTATGTTAATCCATCTTTTCTTAGTAAGTCTTCTTCCTATTTACCACCTATCTTATTATTTTCTCTATTTTTTCCATTGAAGCCTTTTTTTAAAGTCTTGGAACAAGAAATCTTACTAGTTCCATGAATTTATGATAATGCACAGCTATTTTGAATTACAACTGTTTCTGCCATGAATATAACAGCTTTCTTTACATAATACTTATTGTAAAATGCATTCTTCACTTGATCTCCCTTGTAGTGCACAGTATGTCTACATCCATTTTTGTGAATTCTATTATTAGGATATTTTCCCAAGAGTTCAAAATTAAATTATTCCAAAGAATCACCAGAATTTTTGTTTTTTACGTTATTTATTTCATATTCCAATTGTGGTAACTTTACATGTGATGGTAGTTTTTTTGTTTTTTGGTTGTTTGCTTGTTTGTTTGAGACAGGGTCTCACTATGTAGTTCAGGCTGAGCTTGAATAACTCACGGGTAGCCCAGGCTGGCCTCTAACTCATGGCAGTCCCCTAGCCTCAGCCTCCCAAGTGCTGGGGTGACAGGCGTGCATGGCCATGCCTGGCCAAGTAATTTTCATTTCTTAAAAACATCATCAAAGTATTGTATTTTTCTGAATTATCTTGTGAGCAAGGGCTCTGTGCAGTTAATTTATTAAGGAAATGATACTAAGGAACTAGAAGTGGGGGCAGAGGATGAGGAAACAGGGGAAAGACAATACAAGCATGAGTTAAGCTGGCCACAGCTACAGTTGGCCAGTGCTCTGTTCCCCTGTGTCATATAAGGAGCCTTAAGAAACATGTCAGAACTGGGTGCCAGGCAAGTCCAGCATGGTGGTGCACACTTGTAATCCCAGCACTCAGGAGGCTGAGGCAGGAGGATCACTGCTAAATTGAGGCCAGCCTGAACTACATAGCAAGACTCTCTCAAAAAAGAAAACAAAAAACAAAATTGTGCACCAGAATAAAGGAGAATAGTTTATCCATGGAATCCTGCTCTTGTTGGACTGTAGTACTGAGAGCTATACAAGCACAAGTCTATGAGTAGCCCCAGGACAAAAATCAAGGAATATAAGATGAGGACCAAAATTGAGTTTCTGTTAGGCAGTGGAAGCTGGATAGAGCTCAGACAGTGGAAAAAGCACCATGAAGATTTGAAATGGAGCTGAAGATGTGGCCAAAAAAGTATTAACCTTAGAGTTTCTGTAACATACATGAGGAATAACCAATTGCCTAATGAATCACTAATGAATCACTAGTGATGCTTTAATGTCCCTTTACCATTTTTGCATCTTCCATTTGCTCAGTGATTTCTCCAAAGTTTTGAGAGTGAAAATAAAATTTAAGGATTGGAGTAACAGCCCGAATATGCTACACTGAACTTCCAAGTTGCATTTTAAGAAGAAAATAGTAAAATAAATTATGAACGAATTACAAAGAAGAGGAGGCATTCACACCTGAGCTGTTTTTTATATCTGCATTTTGATAAATTCATATGTTCTATAGCCATTTCATGTAGTAAGTCAATTTGGTCAACTGAAGGCTCAGGCTCCTCTACACAGCCTTAAAAGTCTTTCTCCTGTACACAGGCAGATGTGAGTGTCCTTAGAGAGACATTAGCCCAGGATTTCTCAATTAACTCCACACAGGAAAGGGTGCTGTAATCTTCCTTCCAAAACTCTTTAAGGATTAAATCTGTATCTGAGACCATCTGGAAGCACAAGCAGCCAGCCTTTAGGTCATAACTCAAGACTTTGTTCATAAGTTAAAACCAAAATTCCACTTGTAACCCAAGTTGCTCATATGTCAGGGTGAATGTGGAGGGTCACTGTGAGTGGGGTGGGTAAGAGCTTTCTAAGTATCATAAAACCTTATTACAGATAATTTTTATATATTTACAACAATAATGGTTCCAAAAATTCTCAGAGAAAAATCTGTCCAAGAGCTCATTATCACAGAAATTATAAGCCAATTCACTTATATTTAGTGACACAAAAGTCCTAAATAAAACATTAGCAAACATGATCTAGCAGCTTTTTAAAATACAGTGCACATGGATCAAATGAGGATTATTCTAGAATACAAAGATTCATTCTATAAACTTAATATTTGAAAATCTGTTAATATAAATACCATATTGGGAACCAAAAGTGTTTACTAAACATACTATCATTGCAATATAAGTCCATAGTTTAAAACATGCACCAGTATCCAGCATTTCTTTATCCAACAGAAAGTTTTTCACTGGTGATTTTGTTAAATAAACTATACATGACAATTTTTGCTCTTGCCTAATTTTGGGAGGAATATACTTGAAATAATTAGAAGATTAGAACATCAGTTAATTACACCACTTCCTGGATATAATTATAATTAATTTATCCATGCCCCACCCATTCATATTTTTTATTTTTGTGGTTTATTTTCAGGAATGGAAAACCCTTGTGCAAATGCACTTCCTCTTATTATGAATTCTTCACAAAAGCAAAAGACTGTGTGTATTTTTGGAACAGGGGATTTTGGAAGATCTCTGGGATGGAAGATGCTCCAGTGTGGTTATTCTGTTGTTTTTGGAAGTCGAAGCTGCCAGATGTCCAGCCTGCTGCCCAGTGGTACAGAGGTCTTGAGCTATTCAGAAGCAGCCCGGAAGTCTGACATCATAATCATAGCAATCCACAGGGACCACTATAATTTTTTCATAGAACTAACTGAGGTTCTCAATGGGAAAATATTGGTGGATGTCAGCAACAACCTCAAAATCAATCAGTATCCAGAATCTAATGCAGAGTACCTTGCTCAATTGCTGCCAGGAGCCCATGTGGTAAAAGCATTTAATACCATCTCAGCCTGGGCCCTCCAGTCAGGAGCACTGGATGCAAGTCGACAGGTAAGATTAAGTAAATTGCCGTCTGCTATTATTTAAAGGGTGATTCTTTTAATGTGCACTTACCCCAAAGATCTCAAAATAAAATGTCTAATCAGTATTTCATTTTTCTAATATATGCCAAGAATAATTTCCTTGGGTTTGACCATGAAGGGTAGTTGATTGCTGTGATTCATTTCCAAGTGTCTACACCCTCAGATGAATGTAACTGTATTGTATACCTAAAATGTACTAATAAACTTAATGGAAAAAATATAACAAAGTGTCTACACCCTCAGCTTTTAGTTTGATGGAATGGCAATGACCTCAGTCTCTGGAAGCCTCTTTTCTGTACTACAAGCTAATACAGCTTGTTAGGTATCTTTTTGCAGTCCCACTACCTTGTACAAAACTGGTTTCATTTATGCCCAGAGATTGGAAGCAATCATGAGCAATGTGACACCTACACATGCAGAAGGAAGATTGAACTACTCTCACTGTGGAGAATTGAGTCTTATGTCAGTGTGATGTACCTAAAACCACCCTTCATTTAACAACCTGGTACTTAGCTATCCAGCACAGTTCACTACTACATGTGATTCTGCATGGTGTTTATATATACTTTCAAAATAATTATTAAAGAACAAGCATCAATACAGAATTAATTATTTTTAACCCAGGTGTTTGTCTGTGGAAATGACACCAAAGCCAAACAAAGAGTGATGGATATTGTCCGTACTCTTGGACTTACGCCGTTGGATCAAGGATCTCTCATGGCAGCCAAGGAAATTGAAAACTACCCCTTGCAACTGTTCCCAATGTGGAGGTTCCCCTTTTATTTGTCTGCTGCACTGTGTATCTTCTTCTTCTTCTACTCTGTTATAAGAGACATAATCTACCCTTATGTTAATAAAAAGGAAGATAATACATTTCGCTTGGCCATTTCCATTCCCAACCGTGTCTTTCCAATAACAGCACTTGTACTGCTTGCCTTGGTTTACCTCCCTGGTGTTATTGCTGCCATCCTGCAACTTTACCGAGGTACAAAATACCACCGATTCCCACACTGGCTCAACCACTGGATGCTCTGCAGAAAGCAGCTTGGCTTGGTAGCCCTGGGGTTTGCCTTCCTGCATGTCATCTACACACTTGTGATTCCTATTCGGTATTATGTACGATGGAGGTTGAGAAACATAACCGCTACCCAGGTAAATCTCTTTTCATTTATATCCTCCTACTCCCAAATCCAAGAGGAATATTGCTATATCATGTTTTGCTTCACAATTACAGAAAATGACTCTTGTAAGAATATTTTTTAAGGTGACTAGAATTAAAAACATCATGTCTGCGTTTTTAATGAGTCCAGTTGAAATCTCACACAACTATAGAGAGTACAAGTTAGGTCCCTAGGCTCACTTGGATCCAGATCTGTATTCCCAGGACTCACTGCAACACTGACAAAGTTTCAGATTTTGGGCTTCGGAAACCTAATGACACTTACTTGAACTCCTTTGGGTGGCAGTCAATAAATACAAACCCAAGTTTTTCCAAACCTTTCTTTTATGCATGCTCCTTACATTTAGAAGTCAAATCTGACTATCTTGTAAAGAGGCTACTCAAATACACTGCAGCAATGCAAACAAGTTCATGAAAGGTTGCTTATAATGCCCTGAATGCTTTTGACTTGTAGAAAATTGTCTTCAGTAATAATAAAACTAAACAATTCTGAGCAAATATCAAATACCATGTTATGCATAGTTAAAGACTCAGAATCAGCTTAGGGAGTCTTAGAGCCCTCCCACAGGAAGTGCTCTAAGCCAGTTCTAGTTTAGAAATACCTGATTTTGACCGATTCTGGTGCAGACTGCAATGACTTAGTGATGAGTCAATAACTCATTGATGATACCTCTGTGGGATTCTTTTTTTTCTCTAACAAATACATGAATATTTCTCAGGAAAGAGTCTACAACAAGGGCCTGATTTCTCTCAACCTGTGCTATGAGAGACTCCCTGTTATATTATGACATAATCAAGGTGAAAGTACTCAAACTCTGTGTGTGTGAATAATCAGCATATACAGCAGATATGATATATTGTAGAATTATAGAATTCTGATGTATTGAGAGCATACAGTTTTGTTTGGGGTACAGAAAGCCATTTGTAAAGAAGGTTTATGTTTACTTTGTTTTAGGATTTATAAGGTAAATTAAAACTCCCTACACAACTTCTAGAATCAAGAATTATAATAAAATGCCGGCAGAACATACTTTTTTAACAAAAATATTTCTAAGTGCATTTATTTTTAAATGAACAACAAGAAATGCATACAATTTGCTTTGGGCAAATAACCCATGTTTCAGTTCCCTTAAAGTATGGGCAATTTGTAAAAAATGTATTTTTACAAACTGCTTATAATTTTTTTCTTAGGTGATAGACAAGAAAGACGATCCCTTTATCACCTCCACAGCCTGGCTCAGTGATTCATATGTATCTTTGGGAATCCTTGGATTTTTTCTGTTCTTACTCCTGGGAATCACTTCCTTGCCATCTGTCAGCAACATGGTCAACTGGAGAGAGTTCAGATTTGTGCAGGTAAAGATTTGAAAATTTAAATTTAATATTGCAGTATGAGCATGGCTTTGCAAATATTCTCATTTATCTCTCGTACAAGGCCTAATTTTTCAAGTTGCTCCATCACTTCTCTAGCAATCTCACTAAACATGCACATCTAAAAATTCTGAGCTCTGGTTACACACAGGCGTAGTGGTTTGATTTCCTCATGGGGACACCTTGCCATGATTTCCAACTGCTCCCAGAGCCACAGCTAAGATTCTACAGTGAAAAATGCCAAGAATTATTAAATTCTGTGTTTGGAGATGTGCTAGGTACAAGCTCAAAAGAAACCCAAAGACAAAATTAAAGTTACAATATGGACATATTCATAAAGAAAGACAGCCCTTGAAAAAACAAAGTTAAAAATCTTCGAAGTGAGATTTGATAGATACGTTCACTTCGGACTTATCACTGGTCTGTAAGAAGGAAAATTGTGTTCTCCCGCACGACAACCAACAGACACTTCATTCAAGCCAGTTAGCAATTATCCCTGTAAACCAGTGATTCTCAAAGTATGGCACCTGCAGTATCAGCTTCTGGGTCACCTGAGACGTGTTAGTCACACAAAGCCCCAGTCCACAACCAGACCTGCTGAATCATAGGCTCTGGAGGCAGTTTGTTTTAACAAGCCCTCCAGATGATTCTGAGGTGCAACCACTCCGAATCAGTGTAATAAAATAAACCATTAGTCATTGAAATTAGATTTGGATGTCAAAGTTTGTGGTTCCTGCCAAGGACCAAATGCAAGCAAAATTTGCTCATGATAACGCCTTCACTTGAGGCATTAAGACAAAAGCAAACACTGAGTTTTAGAATTTAGTGGCACACACACACACACACACACACTCACACACACACACCCCGCCCCGGAAAAAAAAAAACTGCAAAGTAAAATGTGGTAATTGCTCTTTGTGTAATAGGTAACATCTGTTTTTGGACAGTTACATAATAGTGGAGAGCTTGAAGTCATAGTCATCTCTGACCCCCAGAAAAGATGATAAATAAAAGAGTTTACCAATGGCAACCAAGGAAAGGTACATTATTTATTCTAATTCACAGGAGTTTCCTCCTAAGGAAACTTTTCCATGCAGCCAGGTTAAGGTGAAGCCATTTTTAAGCAACAATCTTTTTTTTTAATGCAATATTTACCATCCTAAACAGTTAATCACTTATCAAAGCACCCTTAATATTATAGATTTCAAATGTTTATGACTACTGACAAATAAACTTCATTGGTTTTTAGTGGTTTAAATGAAAATAATGTCAATATGCTTTGTTTGTTTGTTTGTTTATAGTCCAAATTGGGTTATTTGACCCTGACCTTGTGCACAGCCCATACCCTGGTGTATGGCGGGAAGAGATTCCTCAGCCCTTCAGCTCTAAGATGGTATCTTCCTTCAGCCTATATCTTAGCACTCATCATTCCCTGCGCAGTGCTGGTGATCAAGTTTATCCTCATCATGCCATGCATAGACAATACCCTCACTCGGATCCGCCAGGGTTGGGAAAGGAACTCAAAGTGCTCTAAATCAGCACTGTTTGGAAAATCAGATGTTTCAAGCAAAGCTGAATGTACCTGGGCTTCTGAACTGTAGTATTAAATGTTTAGAGAAAAGAAATGGACACAGTTAAGAAAGCTTTATTTCCCCAGCTTCACCTGAAGTTTATCAACACAGAAGGAAATTTTGCCAAATTTTGAGAAACTCACAGATTCAATTTTATCTAGAGTTAGTGGTGAGTCAGTGCAGGGCCTTACTGCTTCTTTTTCTGGAGGCAGTGGAGCTACATGTAGGATGGAGATTAGCTTTGTGGTTTCACACAAAGAATGTTCTTTGTTGTGGGCAGCCACCATGACCTAATGTCTTGCAAAATCCAGGAAAAGTACATGCAACTTCCTGCTCTGATTCAAGGGCTGAGTTAAGAGATAGAAAACAGCAGCCTGATGGTGGCCATTAATGCAGGCCTTGCTGGGTATGTCTGAAACAAAAGATGCAAATTGGCACAGTAATTTTTATTTTTGGTGCTGAGGTCAAACCCGGGGCTTTGCTCATACTAGGCAGGTGCTCTGCCCAACCACCTGTACCCAGAGCCCTGCAATAGTGAATTCCATACTTAAATGTATACCTTGGTTTCCCTTTTACCACTATGGGTAGCTTCTCTGGGGAACTATCTTATGACACAACAAAAATTGCACAACTGATTGGAAATGACCATGCCTTGGATATATCCAAATCTACATAACTGTTATACAACCCTTTCCTGTATAAGGAACGGGTGTGGGAGAGATTGAGTAAGACTGGAATGGATATCCTTTTGAGTTTTTCTCGATATGCAATAAACAAGGAAGGATTGATGCAACTCTTGTGCAAAAAGTTCAAATAAACCAGAACTTTAGATAGCAAGCTAAACAAGTATTGTCAAACTTTACTATATTAGTTTTGGTATTACCTAGCTATAGTGCAATGCTTTACAAATTATATTTTCTAGATATTATTCAATAATAGTCATCTATGAAATTAATTTCTAATACAAGGATATAACTTTTACAGTCTTAGTCTGTTATAATTTTAAGCAGTAAAATTATATAAATTTTCTGAAAATGTAAATTTAACCAAGGTATAGATGAGAGACAATTATGGACAGTTACAGAGCAGAGAGGTGTGAACATCAGTTGTTATGAGACTTGGTTTATTGTCAAATCCTTGCTGGAATGTAGGGTGGTTCTCACTGTTTTCCATGCTGACAATGCCCTTTCCAAGGTGACCTTCAGCAAGATCAGCCTTCCTAGCTCACAGGTGGTGCTAAAAAGAGGCTTAAACACAATCTTCTTACATATCACCTAGCTAACTAAGAGGCATTGGGTTTAGCACTTTTCTACTTCATCTACAAAGACCATTTATTTTTTTCTCTCTCTCTTTTTTAACTTTTATTGTTACATATTATACACGACATTTTACAGTGATGAAAATATGTTAAGACATCACCCACAATCCAGGGTATTTTTCTATAAAACTTAAAAATGGTTCTATCAATACTATATATTCAATTTTACTTTCTTCTTCACTTCTTAAATGCTTCATTGTCTTAAGTGGCCTAGATATTTATTTAATGGCTACCTAATTTTACAGCAAATAGGGGGTTCTTTTTAGCCACTGCCCTAATTGAGCATATAGGCTATATCTATATTATACTAAAACAAAAAATATTCAGAAAATATCTTCTGCCTTATAATATTTTTCCATAGTATCAATTATCTCCTTAGAATGCTTGCCAAAAATGGTAATTATGCAATTAGAGAATGTTTTCTAGTGTGTGCTAGGCACTGCCAATTTAATTGTAAAATGATCTTATCAATACCATTAGCATTAGATGCGGGCATTAGTTTCATCAAATCATTTTAGGTTTGGGGTTTTATTTCAATTTGTGTTTTCTTAATAATAGTTGCAAAGGTACACAGAGCATATGATCCTTTAATTTATTCTTGACCAACCCAAGCAAGGATACATAAAGCTGAAAGACTTTGAGCAGCTGTGGTATGTGGGGCTCCCTCTGGGGCATCAGTGAGAAGACAAACATCACCACTCATCCATGTTATGCAAACAGCCACTCATGGCATGGCTGACTGGAGGAGACAGTGACGTTCGCATACCATCCAGACTGGTCTAGGGAAACCTTTGGAGCTAACTGCACTCCCATTGCAGGAACAGTCACGGTCCCATCACTAACAGTAGAAAATGCTGCACCTAGGGAAAATACTTATCCATAGTAAAAAATAAGCCCTTCTTTTCCTAGACTTGGAGAAATGCTCAATCCAAGTACTTAATAAAAGTCATCCATCAAGCCTAAGTTAAAGAACAGCCCTTAGGTTTGGGCAAAAAGGCTACATTACCTGACCCTTGGCCCAGCCATAAGGGCACCAAGCCCTACTTCCTGACCAGAGACAGCCAGCTTCTTTCTTCCATTCCTTTCTGCACCCCTCCCTCCACTTTGGAGGAGGCTGCTGTCAGATGTATCAAAGCCCTGGCATCTGAGGGTGCTTGAGGGCACCTGACAACACAACTCCATCACATAGTGCAGGCACACGATGGAGTTGGTTATGATAATAATGAATCAGCATGGATGACTGTACACCTACCACACAGCCTGCAAGGTCTCACAGAATGTTTTGTCTTAGCTAAACTGATAAAGTACTACTATAAGTTCTATACTTGAAATTAAAGTTTGGTTCCTGCTTTTGTGATGCCTGTTCCACCCATGTTCTTTTCTCTGGGAACCTCGCCTGACCAGGCCTCCCTTCAGCCCACCAACTCAGACACACTTAAAGCCAACAAGTAACTGAATCATAACACAGCTGACTTCTCCAATTTACCTAAGGCAGAGAACAAGTTAGGGCAGGTGGAAATAAGTGCTTTACGTGCACTCTATTCCTTTTGGCACATCTAAACTATGCTACATTTTAAAAGTTAGACTGAACTTCTTTATTGCTGGTATGTTTCCTGTATTCTAGGAAAATTTTTGTTACATTCATAGACCATTTGTTCTTGTATGCTTTCTCCATGTTGAAAAAAGATGAACTTTTGTAAATGTGTATGCATTAAAGATTACTTTTGAAATATTTTCTGGTTTTGTTCAATTCTGATTTTGATTCATCAGATTTCAAAGAAAGTGATGGAAAGGTTTTGCATCCCAGTGGTTCCAGCATCTAGGACTGAAAGAACTTCCTTTCAGGGATAAGGAAAAGCAGGGGCAGCGCATGGGCTGGCAGTTCTGTGTACTGTTTGCCTGCACCCAGGCCATGCATTCCAGTATCCCGTGTACTGTGGTGTCCCTGAGGTGGGGTGAGGGGTCAGCTAGCTAAATGGGCAGGCTATCCCACTCTGGACTTCTATCAGAATTAGAGAAAGATTGTTTCCTTTACAAGCAGATGCCATCAGGACAGGGCTAATGGTTTGGTTTGGTTTTGTTTTTAGCAGTATAGAAAAGTTTATTAACAATAGAATGATATCTTAGTAGATAACACAGGATTAGTAGGAGAATTAACAAACTGATTATGAGAAAGAAAATAGTACACTTAGAAGCAAGGGAACTGAATCACTCCCTTCCCCCCATTCAACTGTAATTTATTTGAATTTGGGGGGTTTTATTTATTGGTACATATTAGGTGTACATAATGGTAACATTCTCCTGTACATGATACATCTTGCTTCCTCATTTTCTCCCATTCCCCTCTCCTCCCTTCAACTCCTCTTCCCCTCCTTATTTAAAAAGCTTTGGAAAATGTTCAAATGAGTAGGGGAAAAAGGAGGAGAGGGGAAAGAAAAGAAGGGACAAGAAAAAAAAATGGAAACGAAGAGCTAATGATTTGACAACCCAACTTCAGGCTGGATCAGACTGCGTGACCTGACACTGAACACTCCACAAATGGATAGCTGAATCTTCAGTGGGTACGACTGTGCTTTCAAAAACAAAATAAAGCTGGGCTGGGGGTTTAACTCAGTGGTTCCACTGCCTCCCTTGAAAGCACAAGGACCTGAGTTCGATCTCCGGTACCAAAACAAAACAAAACACAGCAAAAAAAACTGATAAATACAGAACTGACAACCTAGCTGGAAGCAAATGGAAATGCCCATACTCAAAACTACCTTACCCAAAAATTTATTCAAGAGCTCTTCATGCATTTATTGTTCTGCTATCACAAAAGAGCCACACACAGTGATGAAATATGTGTGATACATTTCATCTCTAGGAGCTCAAAAGATTCTGGAACTCCTCCTCAAATTAAGATATAATAGCACCCAAGGTGCTGCATGCAGAGGTCACCGTATTCCATTTCCATCACTACCATCAGTCCCAGCACCCCTGGCCAACACACACACCCCAGGAATCCACAGATATCCCTCAGGATCCTTTCCCAGTTTTCTGCAATCACAATCTAGAAAAATCCTCCATTCTAAAGATATGCTGTGTAGAATTTAGGAAAAGAAATAATTTATTACCTTACCTCAAGCTCAAGGCCAAACCCTGGACTCCCAAATAAGATTCAAATAGGAGAGAAGAGAGGCTCAAGGGTAAAGACATAGGTCAGAGAGAAGAATAAAGAAGAGCAGGATAGTGTTCCTGGCTCTGACTCTACTCTAACCAAGACTGAAAGTGTCCTTAGTACATGCTTTCTGCTACCAGGGAAACTTGGAAGGCTTTTCATGATGTTTATCGCATAATATTATGAGCAAAAAAAAAAAAGCCTGTGCTAACCTGATGTGTATTATCTTATTTAACCCTCATAATTCTCTAAAGTACAATCACCAGGATCCCCAAAAGTTGTGGAGAGGACCTCAACCCCTCCACACAAACCATCACCACAGAGCAGGTTCATTGCCTCTCATCACAGAAAAAGAATTTCAGGACCTGTCAGTGAAAAGCAAAGGCAAATTTGTTAGGCAAAGTGGAAGAAGTACATATCAGAGAAAAAACAGGATGAGGGTGCTCAAGAGAGAAGCACTGTGGTGTGGGGTTGAGGTTATGTATGTGACCTTGGAGGTATCTTTTAAGATAGGTGATCTAAGAAGTTTTGCCTAAGAACATTCTTTTAATCTTTTGAACAGTTTCATCTTAAAGTCTGATTGCTGGCCTTGCTTTATCAATGATGTTAAGTATCTTTAAGGGATTTGAGTGTGATGGGCCTGCAGAAAAAAATAAACAAAGCTGTGGAATAAAACACACAAGCCTAGGGAATAAAGGTATGGAGTAAAGATATGGATAAACTTGGATCACTTTGGCCAAGCCTTAGAACTGTACTTTCCTTGTCTCCTTCCTACTTCTCTTTGTTTCTTCTATCCTACTTCAGTACTTTTATTATCCTTATCTTTCAGAAAACACTGAGTTTTAAACACTTAGTGCCTAGCCTAATGTCACACCACTAAAGTTTCAGGGCCATGCCAGCTCAACCCAATACCAAACTGTCCTCCAAAATTTCCCCTTTAATTCATGAATTAGGATAGGTTTAACCAAATCACGTGCAGCAACATTCTGAAACATTTTTAAAATGCAAAACTCATTAGCATTTTAAATGTGTCCTGTCACCCTGTTCTCAACACTGAGTTTACTCCTGTGGATTTCAATACAGCCTCCACAGCTGTGGTGAGGTAGGCCTTGCAGTTCCTGCCTTGAATTCAGCCCATTGCAACTCCTATTCCAGTCCTCTCACTGGAGTCTGGCCAGCAGCTCTCCGGAGCTCCAAGGAGAGCTTTGTCCAAATGAGAGGAGACAAAGTCCCCTGACACCTGAAAGTGCAGTCAAGGAGGGTACAGCTCCCCTCCCACAGCTGAAAGGCAAATGTTTGCTTTGCTCTGGTTTCCATTTAATGCTTTCTGTACTTAGTGAATAAAACTATTTGTTCTTATGATTCATGGAGGAAATTTCACAACATCTTTCACATATTTCTTTAATGTTTGTTGAGGAAACTTAGTGTTAAAAGAAAAAAGTTTAGACCCATTTCCCATAACCTATAGCTGCCATTCTCTCAGTTTTGTAAATCTGAAGGGCTGTCAGACTGGACCTGATATAACAAAACTATTGGAACACGATCAACTGGAATCAAAGCTTCTCCATGAGTTTTGAGAGTCAAAGAGGTTTTTAAAGAGCACAGTCAGCGTATTAGTCTCAAACCCTTCCTTTCATACTGATAAGATAGAGATGAAAAAGAATGACAGAATTTCTACTCTTGTCTCCTTAGAGCAGAGTAGTAGAATCAGTGAAAGTGGGGGTCTCTCTCAACAACACAAGGGGCATCAGTAGAGTTCCTTCCCACCAGCAGTGCATGACAGTGTTGACAGCCACCAGGAGAAAATCTCTTTCATTTTTGGGCAAACTGGGCAATTACTAGTAAGTTCTCTCTTGCATCCAACCAGTTTTTCTAGTTGTACTTTTTTTTTTTCTGCAATTACTTAAATTCTTTTATTGGTACATTTTAGGTATACAACACACTTACATTTCTCATTGGGAACTTGTACCTTTATATGCTGCATCTCGGTTCTTATTCTAGTTGTACTTGTAAGGTCAGACTGAAGCATGATAAAGAGCACCAAAGCAGGCAAAAATCTAAGCAACATGTAATGAGTTTATCAAAGTCTGGGTGCAGATGGGCCAAGGGCAAAAAGATGATTGGCCCCAAGAGGAGGGTTGTGCAGTTGATATGAAGGAGTTTAGGTAGGGGAGGGGAATTGGTCAAGAAGGTGGAAATTTTAGAGTCCCGTGGCCTGGGGCTGGCTGATAAACAGGGTGGTGGTAGGAGCAGCAGGGTGGTGGTTTTTCATAGAATCAGCTTTCTTGTAGTTAAGTGTGGCAGCTGCTGGCTTCTTCTTATCTCTGTCCTCCTGTGGATGCAGGTATCAGGTCTGCTTAGGCAGGGGTCTGACTTGGGGACCTGTCATCCCTGCCTCTTTTGTTATAGAAAAGAATTTAGAAAGGGAATGGGATATAGATACTCATGACTTCTTTGAGCGTGACTGGGGTCAGCATGGGCATCCTGTGGGGAGAGAGAGAAGAGAAGAAAGAGAGAAAGGGTGGTTCAGTCTTGGAGAGAGGCAGTGGAGGTGTCAGGAGCATGATGACCTTCTGGCCCTTCTCAGGGATCAGCCGGAAGCTCCCGTGGGACAGCAGTGTAGTAGGAAGTCAGGAGGACTTGCCTAGATGTTATGGATCACATTCACTCCTGAACAAAATCTATCAAAAACTTTATTATGCGTGGCTCAATCAATAATAGTAGAAAGATTGGGACAAGGGGCTCTAACATGGGGAGAAGCCAGGGCATCCAGCCTGCTTTGAAAAGACCTTCCTAACCATTGATAGGACCACTTTTTGCCTGTTTTCTGAGCCTGGCAGCTTGATCCCGGTGGGGTGCTGAAGCTAAGCCAGCAGAAAATATGAGGGCCAGGGATATGTATGTGAGTAGAAAGGGAAGAGGGCAATATATAAGGGAGTTAGGCTGCTGGTGCGGCTAGACAGAGAATCAGGAGAAGGGTAGAAAGGTGGCTTTTGTCCAAGAAGAAGTAACAGAGGATTCCCTGGAATAGGAGGTCCTCGATGCAGAGGAGAAAGGATTCTAAGGAGTTGGACTGGGGGTGGAATCAGGGGAGATCGTGGCAGATTTCTCATAGGAATAAGGGAAACCTACATACGGGACAGGGGCCTGGCACTGGATCTAGTCCGAGGGTGTGTATTGATTGAGATCAGGAAATAGCCAGGAGGAGACTGAGAGAAGATCAGTGAAAGGCGGAAGCTCATCAGCCAAACAGGGCCAGGAGAAGGGTGAGCAGGTGGGCCTCATCTAGGGTGAGCGGGAGTGAGATCCCTCCAGCGACGAGATCTTCATCCAGGGAAGAACTGAAGCCAGGGAATCAATCTGAGGGTGGGAGAAAGGAAATGTTCTGCCCCAGGGCAGAAGGAATTCCAGCAAACAATCCTGAGGGCACTGAGCAATTAGAGTGCTGAACCCAAGGGGGTGGGTCTTTTGTTTTGAAAATGAGAGGGAAAGTAGAGGAACTGGAGGAGTTGAGGAGTTGGAGTGGGCCCTTCATTTCACATGGGGGATGATATGTAAGACAGGTAAGGGCCC